AGGACAAATTTAAATGGTATGATTTGACTAAAAAATAAAGATATTAGTGAACTGTAACAATTTTACTTTTATTTTATAAACTATATATGAGTATTCTATCTATATAAATGGTTTAAATCAAAATAGGAAATATGGGAAGTGAATGAATGTAATAAATTATTCTTTTATACAATTTTTTTTAAATTTTTTATAGGCTCGGCCCGGGTTTATTTTTTTTAAAAAAATATATGGCCCGGTCAGGCTTTGGTTCGGGTCTACAGGTCTCTGATTTATATTTATATTATTCCTCAAGGATTTTAATTTAGATATATGATGTCCCCTGGGGGTTATGGCAAGCATGGCTTTTTTCCAAAGAATTAAACTATAGTTATATATATGTTAGATAAATAAGTATAATAGTGTGCACAAATTGAGCGTTTCAAACGCTGCGTTTCAAGCGCAAATAATGCATTTCAAAAGACCTCGTGCAAAACCATTTAAAAAAACGCAAATAGGTTTGCTTTTTCATTACTTTTTATTATTATTCGCTGTGTAATATTATATAAAATGTAATATAAATATCTTACTTATATCCTAAAAAGGAATATTTAGAAATTAAAGAAATAAAAACGCATACGATAATATAATTTTCAAAAGACAAATCCTTTTTTTAAAGAACTTATTTAAAATGTTGCATTTGTAACGCAGCGTTTGAAACGCTCAATTTGTGCGCACTATAACTCCTATAATTAAAAATAAAAATAAAAGTGATTTTTTACCACTCTAATACTATTTCTACAAGAAAAACTTCCTTATAATAGAATATCAGTTTTCTCGAATAAAATAGTAATACTTTAAAATATGATCTTCGATGAGAGTGGGGTTTGCGGCCACATTTAAGAGGTAGCAACGAGTCATTTCTAAGCCATTTCACACTCATTTTAAATTTGATAAAATAACATGCAATTCTTATTCAAACCCATCGCCTGCTCCATTCTCACCACCTTCGGTAGCAAAGCTCAACGTTTTTTTAAAGAATTAGGCAAACAGATTAGCGAAAAAACCGATTAGACTAAGGAATCCCTCTTCTAACGTCAAAGACTTGCTACCGCCATTATTCGCTTTAACTATCTAAGTTTTATCTCTACCATTGAATAATCTTCCATATCCCTAGATTCCTTTTTTTATCCCCTATCCTTTCCCGTAAACTCTATTTCTACATTTTTCACCTCTATTAATTTTATCTTTTAAAAAAATTAATTATATGCTATTACATTTTGATAACATATTTTATATCAGTAAATATTCAAATAAAGTAACCTATGACCGGAAAAAAAAATTAATTATTTTAAATTTTTACATATATTTTTAAATAAATATATATTTTATAAATAATATGGATTTTTATATGCAACAATGATTAATTTGTTCATTTATTCCCAAGAAAAAATTACTCAAAAAACAAAATTTTGAAAAATATTGGACATTTATTTTGAAATAGAAGTAATAGAAAGGAATAAAAATGTAATACTATATACTTAAAATGACAAATTATATATACTATGAGGTTTTATAATTATTTACTTTACGAGCTATAAAAAATCCTGGCCTACCTTCTAGATTTATGTTAAATTTTTCAATCCACTTGGTAAATGGTATAAGCAAAAAGTTGTTCGCAAAAAATGAAAATTTCTCTAATTCACATCAAGATTCGGTAAGACGATTATTTATGGGTGTTGTTATTTCTTTTATTTTTACAACAATAAATTAATTATTGATTGCTTTTCTTTAAAAAAGTCTGATTTTGTCGGAAAAGTATTTCGCTATATACAATCCCTACCCAATAAATTTTAAAAAATTTTGTAATGAACTTCTGAATGAATTTTATATATTCATTTTTTACATAGTTTTCAAATTATAAAAATTAACTTTTTATCGTATTTTTAAATATGAGACACTATGTCCCATCCCTTCTTAAAGCATTGATACTTTTACAATTTAGTTGCGGGTAGTGGCATAACATAAATGTTCGCACCCCTTGGCCGACGGAAGGTTTCAAGGTTTTGAATAGTAGAAAAACAAATTTTTGGAAAAATTTAATTTATTTAAAAAATGAATGTCAAGTTGATTTAAAAAAGTAATATATCATTTAAAGAATACCAAATTAGGATAAAATATATTTTTTAAATATTATCTCGTATGTGGGATATTTTTTAATAATATATATGAAAATTTTTATTATTATGTAATCACTGGAGTCTTAATTTTTTTTATAGTTGCTTTTATTCACCAAATCAAGATTTTTCTAAATATTTATAATAAAATGTTATTTTTGGAATTAAATATATCATATCAATTTTGTCACGCACTTAGATAGAATTTTAAAATAAACATTATGAAACAGTTGTAGGGGAGACCAGGGTCAAATGGAACGATTTTTGGCATAGTTCTACAAATCTTTGAGGCACTGATTTAAATGATAGAATAATATCTTTTACATAAATTTTATTGATTTAATAACAAATGTATATTAGTGTTGTTTAACGGTTTCGATTTGGGTCGATTTTTATGAACAGCCCAATTAAGATTTTAGCCATATATGTAAACCTGAAGATTTTCTCATATATTGTAGATAGGCTTAGACTTTTATTTACGAAATCTCGAGGCTTACATAATATTATTTTGGCTAAAATCTTAAGCAGCCATTTTTAAAAATCGACCCCAAATCGGGTTGTTTAACAACACTGATTTAAAACACAAAAATAATCCATTTACGCTAATTTTATTTATTTAATGATAGTTATACTGAATTGCAAATACAAGAAAAATGATTATGCACAAATTTTATAATATTTGATATAGAATTATTTAACAATATATGTTCTATTTATAAAGCTTGATAGCATTATCGATAAATAAATTTAATCATTACCATATTAAGATATAATAGTAAAATATATATGTTTTGATTAAGTGACAAAGAAAATAAAAATATTAGAGAAATCTTATTAGGAAAAGCCTTACTTTTTAATATATTATGTAAAATTAGTTTTTTAAATATGAATTTATCTAAATACAATTCGATATAAGTAGGGGAGATAGGGGTAAAGCCACTTTTTGTTGAAAGTTTAATAAACTATAATATTAAACTAATCCAAATAAATAAAACATATTCTGAATCCTCAAAGAATGAGAAATTTAATAGGTAATATATATTTTATATTGTCCTCTTTAAGAAAATTTAATTTGAAAAAAAAAAATCCTGGTCCAACGTTGTACTCTGGATAGGTTGATCTAAAAATAGGTGATAGTTGGTCCACTAAAGAAATGAGAGTCTAAATATAAAATTATTATTTTTTAATATTCTTATAACCCTTAAGGACTTAAAGAATATTAATATATTGATAATATTATAATATGAAATAATTAAGTGAATTAAATTAAAATTGAATTTAGAGATTTTAAAAAAATTTAAGAAATTTTGGGAATTTTTGTAAAAATAAATTAAAATAAAATGATATTTAAAGTATATTATAATAAAATTATATTTTAGATTGATAAATATTTATTTAAAATTATTTAAAATAAAATTTTTTTAAATAAATAGGACAAAAGTACCTCAGACTACCCATAACCATGCCCACTCATATAATAAATGCCATTTAAAATAAAATTAAATTATATTTTATCATTCTAAAAAATTGTCATATTAAAAATTATGGCTTAATTCTTCTTAAAATCTACTTATTAAGATTTTTAAAGTTTAATTTGTAAATTTGGGTAAATCTTTTTAAAATCTTTTTAGTCAATGATGACATAATTGTTTATGTTAAATAAAAATTTCCACTCTTAGTCGATAATAATTAATAATTTCGATTATAAATGGCGTGGAATAAATTTCTCCTGTACCTAACACATGCCCCAGTTTCCCTTCATACTGATGTGTAAAAATGGTTTACCCAGCCTCTGTCTCTCCCAAGTTACACAAATTAAGAAACATTTAATAAGGCAATTTATAATGGTCTATTAATAGGAATATAATATTTTCAAACATAAAATAGGTGATATAGGTGATATTGCATTAAACACATCTAATGCTTTGCACATATCACGATTTATCAAATTTAATTCAATATCAATAATTTTTATAGTAAAGTCATTAATATCAATATCGGAATTATTGAATGGAATCAAAAAATTTCTTTTTTAATTATTTGAACATAAAGGAATATCAAATTTAGATGAAAATTTAACAGCTTTGTCATTCCTAAACCGATTTTCTTATAATTTCAAATTTTTTCTGAACTCTATTTGCATTGAGGTAGACAAGGAGACGTTTAGGGGTTGACCCCCTTCCATAGAAAATATGACTAGGGGAGACTATGGATAGTGTTCTCGGGGGAGGGAATTTCTTCTTAAATAATTTTAAAACTAATAAACTTTGATATTTCAAATTTAACCCATAACTGTATTTTAATAAGAAGCTTCAATGGTACTATAAATGCTTCACAGAAATATTTTAATGAAATTAAATGCAAATTTTTATTTTAATATGTCAGAAGTAACTTTTAAGATTTTTACTAATAATTTTTTTTATAAAAGTTACTAAATATCAATTCTAAATGATAAAGTAATCTCAATTTTATCATATATAAAAATATTGATAATATTAATGGTAATTTAATATTTTGAAATTAAATTTTAATTAAATTTTAATTAAATGTTAAGACCTGGGGAATGTTATGGCGGAGTGCGTATTAGCCATTTCTTAGCAGGGATTATTCTGAATAAAAAAAATCTAGCTATATTTGTAAGAAAATTAGAAGCCACTAGGTTGTATTCGCCATGAATGACAGTATGAAGATGATTAATTAATTTTTTGTAGATTAGTTTTAAGTTACAATATGTTCTTCCAGGTGATATATATAATATTAATGAACTTGATAAATTTAGTATATTTATCATTTCTTTATTTCTTTTTATTTATTTAGGATTAACATTTTTATATAAAAAAAATTAAGAAATCTAAGAATAAAGAACCGCTATGACACGAAACGCGAAAGGATAATAGGTTTCCCGGATGTTTTTCGTAATTCTTAAATTTTCATTTATTTAAATTTTATATTTAAAAAAAACTAAAAGTTTTTTTTTATTAAATATTAATTTCTACCGTTGAGATATATAAGTGGCGTAGCCAAGATTAATTCATGGGGCAGGGGGGGTTAAAAACTTTTGGGGGCTTCGCCCCCAAACCGCTTTTAAAAATTTGCCAATTTTGTGCTTTATTGGTGTCTAACCACTATAGTAGCCAGCATAAATGAAAAAAATATTAGTAATAAAATTTTGGCCGAATTTATGATTAATACGCGACTGAAAGCATTATTCTGAAAATTTTATCAATGTTTAGTCAATTGTAAATTAATTCAATCCATTCGGTGTAGAAAGAAGAATAAAATCGCCCCCCAAACCTCCCATTTTTTATGATGACTCAATATATCTTATTCTATGTTAAAAATAATTATTTTAATTAAATTTTTGCATATAACAAAATTTTGCAGAGAATTTTATTATAGATTTTATTTATTATTTATACAATAAAATAAATTTCAAAATGTATAAATTTTATACAGATTATATTAAAAATTTATTCTAAATAACTATATTTAAAAAAAATAGAATTACAATAAATTATGAGAAATTCATGTGCGGTATTTAAAAAAATCTAATTTAACTATTATAATATAATTAATACAAATGAGTATATTAAAATAAAACATAAATAATTCTTATTAGAGATCCGCAAAAGTAGGAAAATCGGGCTGGGTCGGGCCTAATTTTTTTAAAAAAAATTCGGACCGGTTGGGTCTGGCCTTGGAAATTTTTTAATATATACCTAAATATATCAATTTTATGTTAAATTTTTTATGTAAAATAAAAATATTGGATTTTATTTATAAAAACTAGACACCATATAACATACATCTATAATTTTAAGTGATTATAAAAATGAATTTTTATATTTAAATAAATTAGGGCCAGGCCGACAAAACTTTTTTAAAAAAATTTCGGGTTCGGGCCGCAAAACTTTTTTAAAATAATTTCGAGCTGGACCGGGCTTGAAAAATTAGGCCCGATGCAGATCATTAATTCTTAGTGCAAATGCAATATTTTTATTAAAAATAGTATAATATAAATTACATTTTGAATATAAAAATATTATGACAAAGATCATATTATAATAATATAGCAATTTTATAATTTGAATTTATAAATAGAGGTCTACTTTTCTCTGAGATTTGACTAATTCATCTAGAAACAAATTTTTATCTAGAATAATCTCCTTATATATATTTAATATTGCGAATCCATTTAAACGGCTTTCACCGGTGCTATTTCTTAAATTGGTTTTTAATCTTTTCAAAGTTGAAAAAGACCTTTCATTAGCGCAGGTGCCAATCGGTAAGGTAGCTAAGATAAAAAGCAATGTTTTGATATTAGGCAGGGGATATAAAGTGCAATTATACATGGAAAGGGCCTGTAAAGCATGTTTTGGTGTCAAAGAGTATACTCTATTCTATCAAAATTTTTATACCAAGATTCGACGTCTTTCTTAATATCCACTCGCGTTTCAAGTGTATTTAGACTCAACCGGCAAAAAAAAATAAAAGATGTTTAAAATAAAATTGTGACTAATAAATCTTTCCTTTAATTGAAATAAAAATGTATCAATAAGGGGAGTAAAAATATTTATTTTTAAAAATCCTCAATAGTAGATGCATCAATATTTAAGCTATTGGACTATCTAGAAACTACTCTAGATTAAAAAAATTTAATCCCAAACATATTAGCGATCACCTTTACTTTCTCATTATATTCCCCAAATTAAAAGATTTTTCTTTTATTTAAAAATTAATTAAAATTTTTAAAACTATCTAATTAGTTTAACAATATAAATTTTATCATTAAATTTATAAATATCTAATTTAACTATGCGGGAAAAAATTAACAATATATATTTATTGTTATTTAATATTTTACATAAAATTTTTAATATATATTTTTAAACCACATGTTATCATTTAAAACTAAAAATTCTTATTTGTTTTTTTAAATGTATTTCATTTTCATATCGTATATAATTTTATTTATAAATTGAAACCATTTTTTAAATAAAATTATTTGCAATAAGAAAAAAATTTAAAAAAAAATTTTTTCGGAGGTTATGGGGGAGGGGGGAGTTTCAACCCCAACCCCCTTCCCCCCCCCCCTTCTCTACGCCAATGTAAATATATATATTTCTATGTGAAGAATAAAACTACATTTAAATATTTTGTAATATTTGCTTCATCTAGTTTTTATGACACTTCAATTTTTTATGGACAATAATCCTGGTCTCCCTTAGGTATAATTTGTGTTTTCATAATAATTTTATATAAATATAGACAAAATTTGCCATTATTTAATTTAAATTGATACTTCGCTACCATTCCATATTTATTGGTATCACATATACACAAGTAGATTTACTAAATTATAAAAGTATCAAAGCTACAACCAGAGACATCGAGTCCTATATTTTAAAATACGAGAAAAAAGTTAATTTTTTTTCATGTAGGCCTACCATTAGGATACATAAAAAATGACTGATCTTAAAATATTTTAAATTAAATGGAGTGCAGTTTGCCCAAAATTGCCCTATTTATTCGACATTTAGAGGTCCATATCTCAGCCGCGGAGTTGGGAATTGAGTTAAGTTTTATTATATTTTTTTGTTTATAATGTATACAAACTCTTGTTAGAATTTTAGAAAAATCTAAGGGGGTCAGGTTGAAAGTCAAGTTTTTTTGTTGATTCTTCATGGAATTTACCATATAATATATTTGATTTATTTATTTTTTTTATAATTGCATGCTTCTATCTATATTTGTTGTTTTCTCGTTGATACCAATTTGAGATACTTTGTTACATTTTTAATAACTCTTTTTATGTGCTTTTAAAGGTTTGGTAAATTTCCTACTTAAGTCTGCGTTTTAATAAAAAAATCAGATTTATATCAAATTTTTGTAAATATCGAATCAAAATATAATGAAATTTTAACTAGTTTTTCAATATGTCTTAAAAAGCCAAAATTAACATAAAATATCTATAAAGATAGCAGAATCATTATAAAATATTATGAATCGGGGAGAAAGAAATCTTAAGGTATTTAGATGTAATTGATTTTTGAATCGCAATTTATATGATACAGCCTTAGGCTATCATTACAGTTTTATTTCTCTTATAATATCTATTTATTGACTGGGAAAACTGCCCGATGAATTAGAAATACTAATCAGGAATCACATATTGGCATATCAAGATATATAGTGCCTATAATTTGTTTAGCATGATGCCAATATTTGCATTTTTTCTTATTTTGTCAAGAATCCGTTTTTCTTTAAACTATCTACCAAACTGATTGAGCCTTTACATGCATTAATACTAAATATGCACTAATACTAAAGATGTACTAATTATTTACATAAGTATCATAGTTATCTAGAAGTTTGGCTGACATTACGCTTAAGGCATGATATCATAGTATTTAATTGACATATAATTATTTTTGTTTTTTTGTGACTGGCAAAAAAATTAAATTAATATTATAAAACCTTCTAAAAATATATGAACAATATTTATTATACTGATTTTAGGAATATTTTGTATATTTAATATTACAATTTTTGGAATGGTTAAATGCTCCCGCTTTTTATTTGAAAGAATCTGGTAAACTATCTAGGTGGACCCGGGGTGAGTCAACAAACCACTTATCTCTTTTTAAAATTAAAATACTAGAGTGATAAAATCTTTATCTTAATATAGATTTTATTATTAGGCATCTATAGACAGAAAATATTTTAATATAATTAACTATTAAATTTGTTATGGAAATAAAATTTTAGTGTTAAATTTAAAAAACTTTTGCATGGCAGAAATTTAATTCTAATATATAATAATTTATAAATTAAGTTTTTAAACTTTCTTTAATAATTTGAGAACGTTTTGTGAGTATATTTATTGTCTTAGATTAATTTAGAGTTAATATGGGTTGATCTATATTATTCGATATCGTGCCAAAATGCAAACCCATGAAAATTACCGATGGTCCTGCATTTTACATTAATGATTATCTATAGTAAAATTTTAGAGGAGAGGACAGGAGGACAAATACACCCCCCCCCCTCAGCCAAATAATTTAGATGTCCGTTAAAATATTTTTCAATATTGTTCTATTTATTAATTTATATTTCAACCTTTTCTCACATATATATATTTCAATTTACATTTATTATCACATTTCACAGCAGAAATAAATGTTACCAATTTATTCTATGAATTAATATCGATTTCAAATTTTCTTAGCATTATATTCCACCGGGTTAAAATTCCCACCAATCATTTGAAAATTTTTCACTGCAAAACTAAAGTAAAATGTTTCAAAAAAACATCGATTTGATTTGATTGAGACTATGAGAATCGTTGAAAGCATTATACTGGAATTTAAATGAGATTAGGACAAATGTATATGACGAATTTCATAAGTTATTTGTCATTGTAGAGTCAAAAGCAGTCTATGAATTTAATAATTGTCTACCTCAGCAGCAGATAAGCAAGCCCATCGTTCCAATATTAATATAGGACGGTCGAAGAATGCTATAAAATAAAATCCTTCCCCCTCTTGGATACTTTTACAAATGAACAAAGGAATCTCTAAATATTTACAGCAGAATCCTTTCAAATCTATTTCAAATCTTGGTAGAGAAAAATTAAATATTTGGTAGATTTCAATTGTGAGTATATAAAGTATCCCATGATGCATTACTAGCTCAATGCAAACTATGGTAATAAATTTTTTAAGCATTTAAAATTTGATATTAATAAATTTAAATTATATTTAAAAAAATAAATGTTGGAAATATAGATTTAATGCATATAAATGTTCTTAAGAATTATTGCATAAAATTACAGAGTATTCGTAAAAAAAATGGTTATTAAAAAATGGGGAAAAATATAATTAAGAAGCATATTGGGATTGTCAAAGCAACGCTT